ATACAATGTGTACGTATGTACCTGTTTATATCAGCGACGCCGCTGACTCAGCTCTGATACGTCACTGACACTGTTGAGTGTGTATATACGTTGTAGAGAATGTACGAAAGAATAATTCGTTGGATACGCAACTGTGACGGAACTGTGTGTGTGAATGAAGCTTAATAATTTAAGGGTCATTTCACGCCTAACACCCTTCCATATTGGAGCTACGAGCTAGTTGACGGTACTAATCAGTAATTAATTACAATCCGAACACTTCCTCTTCGGATAACCATATTCGAGTTGCAAGGTTACAGTTTTGCTCGCGAAAGTACACAGTTAATAAGGCGAATAAGTAATCTCTGTATGTAATCTAATAAGTATACTCTGAACCTCTTCAGAAAATGTATAGTCGCTGAAGCTGAAGCAACTCTTTCAGGATTGCAGTTCTTTAAAATCATTGCATAAAAGAAGGGCCAAGCGAAATCTGTCTGCATTATTACAGCCAAATCATTTTGAACTTTATCCTTATTACTGAATGTTTAAACATTATTTGAATTATTGGAAAACATTTTTTTATGTATGTTTTTTTAGGAAATTAGAATATCAATGATTTTATTAATGTTATATAAATATTAAAAGTACTATTGCTTAGACAGAAAACGGGTCTCTGTCTTGTAGACATTGACTACGAAGTCGTGAATTGATCCCTATCATATACGGTAACACACATTTTCTGGAAATACGGTATGATATACAATTAGTTCTATGAATAAAATTGTCTGAACCATCCTTCTCTTCTTAAATCAATATAATAATACGTAATACTTAACCATTCTGGTGTTATTAATAATCTAAGTAAAGTAGCAATAAAGTTTCATTTTCCATTAATAAAATATATTCAAATCCTATTTCAAATGGAGATGTTCAAATTGATTAGTCCTAATTGTTGTTGTTTGTGTGAAATGTGGGCTGCGTATCGATACAATTACCAAGGTCGCTAACTGAATGGATTATTTGTTATTTTTATTTATAATAGCTAATTCGTGACAATTTTGCATTTAATTTCGTGGCTGGTCCAACGTTGTTCTGTTGTTGGTTAAGTGGTATTTTTGATGATAAGGTTTCTTTGCGTGATTAGGGTCACAGAAAATGATCCGTCGGACCGTATCAAAAAGTATACGTTTCTCCGCTCGACGTACTGACGGATCATCCGTCAAGTATGCAAAGTTGAATGTCATTTCTTGGTTCCGGACGTAACCCGACGGATTTTCCGACGGATCTGCTTCGACCCTTAATCTTGATCGTCGATAATGATTTGATATCTGTGCGGGCAATTATTGCAATTAAGTTTTAGTTCCGAGGCATTTACGTTACACCATTTATGTTCTCTGTTAAGACCAACTATACCATTAACAAAATAAGTTGTTATTATTTTTGTTGAAATAGTTATTAAGTATTAGTAGTTAATATTAGCACTTATTGATTCTAAGCAAAGAAATAAGATCTGTTTATACTTAATCTCTACTTATGTGCCAGATTTTTTTCATTTACATATTATATTTTCGTTTATTTTTATTTATTAAGTACGCTTGTGGTTTATATTGTAAAGGCGGCTGTAATGTCTTTTTATTTTTATAGTCTCCATTGATCGTGTTTGATTTGTATATGGGATATGTTAGTTATTAAGAAAACGTTTATATATTTTTTGTTTCCTAAGTTATAACGTCCAGAATATCTTATATCTGTTATGCTGAATGCGTTTATAGAAAAGAAAGGAACTTGTTAACTCATGCCAAATAGAGCTATATATAAAGTGAATTTTGTCGTAAGGAATTACAAAATAATAATTTGTGGTTTTATAATTTGTAAATGATTTGTTTTCAATGATATAAAACAACTTGATTACCGTGAATTTTGAAGCGTGCCCATACGCTGACGAAAGTAATAGATTTATTTTGACTTTACCTTAGTGGATAGCTTTAAAAACATTAAAAATAAAATATCAATATCAATAAAGTATATCACTTTCGCCAGCGATTGTACGCAGTGGCTCTGTACGCACTGACTGGAGCGTATTGTACTTAGGTGTGCGTAAAGGCATGAGTGTGTGGCGGCTTCCACTCTCTAGTTCTAGTCATTTTAATTCCTCCGTGTTGTATCTATACATAAACAGCATGCCTGTGTATGGGTAGACAATATATAACTAATCAATATGAATGTTAAACATAATATTATAGGTGAAACTTGTATCTATTAAATTTGATGTCTGTTCTATGCTGCGTTTTATTTTATATTGCTCGCATTTCATACAGTTAAAAGAAACTACTGAAGCTGGAGTTCACCGATTGTCAGTTAAACAAAGAAATCAGTCCATTAAATTGTAACCGTTTTTTAAACAGCCATTAAACAAATTCATGTTCAACAGGTAAATTTTTTATCACGATTACCAAACCTGCCGGTTATCCAACTTTTAGAACGAATGTAGGAATGGTTATACGCTAATCAGATGCGTATTTATTTCTGCCGTATTCAGACAATTCAATGTAGCAGCGTAATAAAAAAATACTAACAATTTTAAGAGTACGGACGACATGACAAGAACGGAACAAATAAGTAAATACATAAATGTATTTTAACTTTGATCGACCTATAAGCTCAAAATGGTTGTCTATTGTGTCTTGTTTACTCTTTGGTCTTGTCAATTGTTATATAAAAGCTATACTTGTCTCTGGTATGTACATATATGTCGGCCCGATCGTTGTATTGGCCAGCTCGTGGTATGCACATCGTGATACGCCGGCACTTCATGATCTGGCCATTCTACACCGGCCATATCGTTCGACGATTATCGTTTGACGACCAACCATACTAGGGAATATCATTTGTGTAGCATTATAAACCAAATATGTTTCCTTCAAGAAAAGCGATTCGTTTCTGGAACTTCGCCGGCCGCTGTCGCAGCACGCTCGCTTCGCTCGCTCGTTTCGTGCGTTGTTTATCGTACACTAACATAACCTAACCCATATGTTATAAAATAAACCTATACAAGTATAATACAAACGATCTTTCAAATATAGGTTACGAAAATTCTTGCAAATATAGGACATAAACGTTTTTACAAATTCTAACAGTTCTAACGGCGCGAAATGCAACTGCTTCATGATCCGCCCAGTGCTGAGCTGGGAATATCAACAAAAAATGTTATTCTCCTCGATCTACCCCACTTTTGATTGGGCACATCTTGATATGGCCGGCCAAATCATGAAGTGTCGGCCTATCTCGATGTGCCCGGGCATATCATGATCAGGCCAACACAACGATCGGGCGACGACATATACTAATCAATTGATTAGTGAGTAGTGAACACAAAAATGTTTTTAATGAACTGATTAATAACTAATTAGTTTATTAGAAAGTTGATGAATTTTCTCTCAATTCTTGTCCGGAAATGACAGTAAAAAAGACCAAAGACACTTATTTTCCTGTTTAACTGAAATAATTTATAATTATATAATCATACAAAAAAATCGATTTATATTGAGTAAAAATCTAAATATAAATTTAATAATCAAAATTTTCAGCGAAAACGCAAACTTCTGTAATGGCGTCGCTATGACGTCATACTCCTCTTAAACTTATATCGATCTATGAATGCATATGGCTTAATTTATGAATAAGAGGGACGTTGCGTTATAAAATATTAGATTTTTCATAATTTAAGCGATGTTATATATAATAAGTATAAAAATATGATTATCGGTAAAAGTACATTAAACACTACCAAAATAAACAAAAAAAAAATCCTGATAGATAGTTTGGAAATTGCTAAACCCAGATTAAGTCGCTTCTTGCTTTCTATACGACGAGATCTTTTAATCGAATACGATAGCGTATTTTCACCTATTTCCAGGTTATCATGGGTTCGAGTCCCATCTCAGAGTGCCACTTACAAAGTGGATTTTTAAGCATTTTTCAGTATAGCATTGTGAATGCAAAACTGATCAAATATAATAATTAGTAATTTAGTTTAATACCATGAACTTTTTTCTGAGACTCATTCAATCCTGTAGGATCACTGATCATTATTAAAGTAGAGGTCAGTGTGTGGGATGGCTGCATAATGGATGGATATTATTCTGAGGGATGGATAAAAATTATAATTTATTAAAACAAACAGTTTGGATTTCTTTGATAAAAATTTATGGAAATTTCCTGTCACTTCCAAAGAAAATGTAGATAAATGCTGTCACGGAATTGTGTAAATGCAAATAGGCCATGAATTAAAAAAGAAGAAGAAAATGCTGTCAATTGTCAATTTTATTCTGTTTGACAATTCGTATTGCTCTAAACATAGAGAAAAAATACGTTGACGGTACAAAATGTAACAAGTAATCGTGAAAGAAAAAAATATAAAAACTATTTAAAAATTCCAATGCCTCGTGTAATATTCCAAACATGTTCCGTATAAGTTGCAAGAAACTCCTGTCTTGTTCGTCAAACACGTTAGTTTCATCCGCCAAGTACCAGAACTTTGTCACCTCTGATGCTCTTGAGAACTTGGAAAGATTTTGTGATAGGTACTGTCCGGTACCACGTTTTCCGCCGCAGAAGGTTTTGTATTATTATGATAGATATAATTATATTATTTCTGGCAGTTGGACATGACTTAATTCCGCATGCGGGGAGCAAATGTCAGCTCCGTCTCATTATCATAGTCGCTCATTGATTTATCGACTGCTAAAATGAGCCCGCAAAGTCCGTACGCAGAGTTGCAGACCTCATGCCTCCAGCTATTATTAGATGTCTTCAGAATAACTTTTGGATAAGAAGTCAAGAAAAAATACTGGGGTACCTAAATGTAATACAATAATGTATAACATTTTCTCAAATCAAACGTCTATCTATTGCTTTTCTAGTTACATGAACAAAATATGTTTTAAATGCAAATTAGATACCTAAGTAGGCTACAGTTAAAGTGGCCAGAAAACAATGACAGTTTATACCAAAAAATAAACATGTTATGCTTGCGCCTTTGCTTACAGCTTAGCGCTCTGGCCTTTGGTCTATTTATCATAAATTCATTTAAGAGGGCTTGTAAGCTAAACAAACACGTCATCTTTCAATTGTATATATACAACAAAAAATTATAACATTCGAAAGAAAGCTACACCTTGTATTGGGTTAAAACATAAATTTATAATTTTTTCGATAGAAACAAATACCAACCGTCTCTGAGATTCACCAATTCGTATTTTTTTTCTAATTACTCTTTTTACTATTGGAAGAATTGCTAAACATGTGACTCATTTTGTAGCCGAGGCTTTGCCCGTCGTCTGTCTCCTACTTATCGCATTATTAGAGGCATTGATTTCGTCTCCTTTTCTCATTTGTCGGGCAGACTTAATAGCTATACACTGTTGCCTCAGGTAGCCGTGGTAGGCGCTGGTAGTGATGTGGGTCGGATAGTGTCATTGTTCTTGAAGCAGCAGCCCGTTGTGAAGATACTCGCGCTGTGGGACGAGTTGCCGGACTGCGGCGTGCTCGGAATGGCCAACGACTTGGCGCACATAGACACCGGCACCGAAGTCGAGGCTTACCAGGGGCGCATGTTTCTCAAGCCAGCTCTACACGTGAGTTATGTAGGAAAGTTGGTTGTGTAGGTAGTTAATAGTGAAAAAGTCAAATTCCTATTGCGCTTTAAACGAATCCGAATTGTAGACTGGTGGAAGGAAGATGGTGCTAGCAGTTACAAATTCAAAGTTTTTAATACGATGAGGCAAAGGAAAGAAGAGAATAGAGATCTCTGAAAATTCCCTTAATCTTGTTAAGGAGTGACTAAAGTATATGTTGCACGAAACATCAAAAAAAATATATTAGACAACATCACACACATTTTTCAGATCCCCGCTATTACCCTGCAGTAAACCCCTGTGTTTGGACCTTAGATGGCCACACCTTGAAACGGACAGGCGACATATCTAGAAGACCGTTTCACGATTGCATTAGTCATATGTTGAAAATACATGCGACCTCCCCTCAGAACGCCCATACTTCTCGTCGCTGCTGGTCAAGAGCAGATTACTTATTAACTTTTTTTCCAGGATTCAGATGTAGTGGTAATATGCGGCGGGTGGTACATCCTACCTCCATGCTGCAACACGCAGGATCGTGACCTGTTCTTCCAGAACATGCGGTGGGTTCGTACCGCCACCATCGCTTGCGCTGAGTTCTGTCCGCAGGCCATTATTGCTGTGCAGACGCCACCGGTCGACTGCAACTTCGCTCTTTGCAAATACGTTAGAATGTCTCATTATTATTTTTTTCTATTTCTTTTTCTTCTTTTATTAACCTATTAAAAGGTAATTTACCAAAAAAAGGGAAGGGATTTTATTGGGAATGTTCGAGTTAAATACAATTAGTTGACTATTACTCGTAAACTTCTAAAGCCAACTTTTACTAAATCGAGACTAACGGTTTACTGATTAAAAAAATGACCTTCCCACACCTCCAATGTTTTGGAAGACTTATCCAACAATGCTCCACACTATGGGGAAGACGAAAAAAAGTCTCATCCCCCTTTTACGAGGGTCAAACTGAAAGTTCTTAGAAAATCAAAAACTGATTACATTAGCCAGTTATTAGTTTTATTATATCTTTTCAAAATATTGTCCATTCACGTCAATACACCGCTGCATGCGATGGAACCACTGGGAAAAGCACTTTGCCCACTCGTCCTTAGGGGTCTCTTCAATGGCATCGCGATACGCAGCCACCGCTTCTTCAGCATTCATAAACCGCTTTCCTTTAAGTTTTTCTTTAATTTTTGGAAATAAATAAAAATCACAAGGCGCGAGGTCGGGGCTATACGGCGGGTGACCCAGTAATTCAACGTTTGATGTCGCCAAATAGTCGATCGTTCGCTTGGCGGTGTGCGACGAGGCGTTGTCGTGGTGAAGGAGGATCCTACTGCGAGGTCGTTTCTCTCGAACTTTTTCCAAGACAAGTGGCAAACAATTGGTAGTGTACCATTCTGCAGAAACTGTTTTTTGATCCTCTAACACAATTGTTGCAAAATGACCTATCCTTCCAAAGAACGAGGCCACCATTTTTTTTCCCGCACTTCGATCTCTCTTCACTTTAGTTGGCAACTCCTCGAAAGGAAACACCCACTGAGCAGATTGTCTTTTGGTTTTAGGATCATAACAGTAAATCCAGCTTTCGTCACCTGTTAGTATGTCGAACACAGCATTTGAGTCACCTCCGTTAAATCTTTCAATCATTTTACGACACCAATCCACACGATGGAGTTTTTGAGCCTCAGTCAAATTATGAGGTATCCACCGGGCGCAAAGCTTCCTGACCGCTAAATGTTCGTGGAGGATTTTGTGCACTTGACTCATACCGATGCCTAAGCTTGTCCGAATCTGTTGATAGGTCACTCTTTTGTCAGTCTCTATCATACGCCGCACAACACAGATGTTATCTTCAGTCGTCGCCGTAGAAGGCCGTCCCTCACGTAAATCATCAGTGAGATTAGTGCGACCACGTTTAAACTCATTAAACCAGTTGTAAACAGTCGCACGAGATGGGGCTTCATCGTGAAAGGCCAATCGTAGTCTATCATAACTTTCTTGTTGACTTAAATGACATCGAAAGTCATAAAAAATCATTGCACGAAAATTTTCTCGTGTTAAATTCATGATGACGTGACACAGACAATTTTCAATTTGCCGCCAAATCGTAAAACAAATGACAAATGAATGAAATATATACTCAGTAATATTGACAAAGAGTTATATTTTCAAATTTTAGAATTATTTTTTTATTATATTGTTTATAAGTGGCCAGTTCTAAGAACTTTCAGTTTGACCCTCGTACATGTAGGGGAGGTACCCAACCCAACCACATTATTTTTTTGAAATTTTACTCTACCACTTTGTCAGCGTAATTATATTCATGCCAAATTACAACTTTTTAGAACCAATAGTTTTTAAGCTAAACTGCAGACGGACGGACGGACGGACATGGTGAAACTATTACTAGGCTGACATAGGAAATTAATAGGCTTGTGATGATGATGAGTGGTGTGTTTTCAAACTGAAGGATTAGGTATTTAATTACATTGTCTGTGTAAGTATATCAATATGATACAGTTATCATATTCGACACAGTTATCGAGAGGCGGATTTACTCTCAGCCACAGTAGGGAGAGGCCTAAGGCGGACAAATGTTAGTGGCGGCCAAAACGGCGGCGGCTATATAATCCTATTATAATAATAACTTTATTTACAAAAAATGTGGGATTGCATAATTTATAATATTGTAAATTAAATTGAATAACAGGTAAAGTCCTTAAATATACAGTAGTGTAGATCTGTGGGAATTTAAAATAGGAGGACCCTGTACCTTAAGAACCCACAAATTTCCGCTGACAAAAATAATACAAGTATATTTAATTTTGCAAAAGTACAGAGGGCCATATTACTATAATTATAATAATATTTATAAAATTCATAAAAGTTTACTTAATGTGATGAAGTAACTCTTCTGTCTTCTCATAAGACAGTGGGAGAAGCCATTGTAAAAGTGTATAGTTATTTTTGTGGGAATGTTTATTCTCTACTAACATATTTATACCAACAACTATGTAATAAGAAGTTATATTATTTGATTACGACACACTACTAAATATTTAAATCTATTTCAATAAACGTTATCAAGAAAGTAAATACAAAAAGGGGGTTAGTACTTCATGGCCTAGGGCGGCCAAGCCTGCAAATCCACCTTTGACTAAAGCTAAAATTAGTTATCATTATTATAATCCTATCTTTACGTAAGCTATTCCTTTTTCAAATAAGACCTTGAAGAAAGCCAAAGCTTACGACAAACGGCGTGTGATTGGCGTAAACTCCATCAATGCGATGCGCGCTAATCAGCTGTTCTGTTCGATCACCGGCTCTGATCCTGCCACAACGAGTACACCTGTCGTCGGCGGCACCGGCCGGTGCACACGTGTGCCGGTTTTCTCTGCCGCAAAAGCCGGCAACTTTCCACAGGTTTGCAATACCGCTTACACGTTCATCTAGAGCAGCAATTAATGTATATTGACTGCATTACGAACTATTTTTTTCCAGACACAAGCAGAATGTTTGACTCGGCTAGTTCGTGAAGCGGACGACATAATATGTAAGGTGAAGAGCAACAACGAGCAGGGTCATCTTTCCGTGGGTTTTGCTACTGCCAGATGCGTTGTCAACATTATGAAGGGTAAGTACTACTACCGAAGAACAGTAAAAACTGAATAAGTATATATTTCGAAGAGGTGTAGTGATTTGTTTCGTATTTTAGAAATTAGTAGTATAATAAGACGAAACCAACATAAACATAATAACTTTGGTAACTTATCCGACGAAGTCAACACGTCTCAATTTCACGTTTTCCCTTCAGTCATAGTCAATTTAAATTAGGTTGGTTTATCCAAGAACCTATCAACTTTAGTCCTCGTTTTATAATAATACTGTACGGTTGTATTAATGTTTTCACTACTGAGGCACACGCCTTACCATTGAAATAACGAGGAGAACGGGCCTAAGGCTTAACTAACTCATCACAGGCGCAGTACGGATTAATGGAAATGCAGGTGTAGCAAAGATCAGCTCGAGGCCCAGGTGGGAGGCCCGGGAAGTGCTCGTTATAGACGCAGACGGTAAGGAGGAGAGGATTGCGAATTAGCGCATCCCCCTCCTGCGTATCGGCGGACATAGGTGACACCCAACTCGTCCTCTTGTTATTAACTATCCATTCGTCTATCTTTTCGGGAAAAGGTCAGGTAGCATGGTCTTTTTATTCCCCATAGAGCTCGAAGTAGGGTTGGACCTGACGGGCTCCTTGCTGGATCCCGAGGTCTTCCCTCCCCCAAGAGGGTACTCCGCAGAGAGTTATACCAGGCCGGTTTCGCCTAAACTTGCCCTTTTCAGGACGAGAGCTTTGTTGAAGAACCCTGGCTTAAAGGTTTAATTAGCATTGCCCCTGCGTTATCAAAAAGGTGCGGCAGAGATCAACGGCTATCCATCCAACAACGAAAGTTATCAGGGACCAGGCTCACTGTATACTTATTTTAGTGAACATTTACAGGTTTGTTCGAAAAGCCGATGTTTTTAGACAGCGCGTTAGTGGAACAAGCAGACCCTAAGAAATGTTACGATCTGAAAATGTGTGCTACACCTCTGACTATGGGGAAGGGAGGCATAGCCGAATACGCTGTGCCCACCCTCAACGAATTTGAAATGAAGACTTTAGAGGACAGCAAGTTTGTTCCATTTTTTTAGATTCCGTGGCTCTTAGGAACATTAGCCGTTATTTAATCTAATAAATAATTGGTATGTCGTTAGGTCTGGCCGTTCTTTATAGGTTTTTGGTCTTCCTCAGCTTTTACATTACATATGGAGTTCATATATTACACATATAGAGTTTGAAATATGACCCGATCAAAATTGCCTTTGAAAAATTGATAAGAACTACCTTGCCCGATAAAAATTGCCCAAAATTGCGACCTGCAATGCAATCATGAATTTTGGTCAATATTGGGATAAATGAAAACGTTTTGCAATTCTACAAAACTAACGTATAAATTTACTTTTCCTTTAATTCGTACAGCATATTTCAGACCAATATTTATTGTAAGAGTCGCTCATTTCCATGGCTTTGTTATTTTTTAATTATTAATAATGCCAACTGTGTACGATATAGCACCCGTATGTGAAAGAATTAAAAAATCGAACCAGTAGTTACGGAGCCTATTCAATGTAAAGAAACAATCAACTCTTTCATTTCTTTCTTTTCCATTAAAACATTAGTATAGATTTGTGTATGTCTCGAAAACGTGTTATTATGTAATTTGTTTTCAGATGTGATCTCGAGGATATGCTGAACCTCGGACGAGCGTACGCTCTCGGCGACGACTACACCTTGCACTCGTGTAGGTTCTACCCACCGTGTTACTACGAGCCATGCAAGACCTGCACGCCAGTCACACAGGAGAAGTCAAAGAAGTAAACTAAATTAAATTATACCATGAAGTTTACCTTATTTATTGAGTATCGAATATAACATAAACATATTTACTTTGCAAGACCGTTATCATGAAAATTACGTAAAGCACAGCATCACAATGTGTGTAAAGGGAACTTAAATTCTCACCACATTTGTATTCGATTCGAAATTATGTTGTTTCGTGTTATGAGTGGGGATGTATTTCACGTTGAGGTCATTAAAATAATTAGACCGAATCATGTGAAATGTCAGCCAGTGCATATCTGACGGAATTTGCGGTGCGTTCTCTTCGGTCGTGGAACGTCAGAACTGATATATACCAACCTAGCACACTTAACGGATCTCGCGTACTTAGAGCATACTTTGACGACGCATGACGGGGCTTCCGTCAGATTTGCACAGTCTTAAACTTCATATACTTACAACCTTACATCCAGCAAAAGCGTACGGATTTTAGAAAAGAAAACAATGAAAAAATAGAACCGATTATAACCTTCATTGCCTATTGCGAGCTATTTATCCTAATCACTGTAACGTCGTCGATTGACTTTTGTAAGAGCTATTAACTGGCCCTAAACTAGCACCTTTAAACGTAGCAATAGTGGTATCTTTAAACCTATTACAGCAAACTAGTACAAGGCGTTTGTTTATTGTCTCACTAATGTATGTAAAATTGATATATAAGATTTTGTTTGTGATAATATAACTTTTTATAGCAAACTTATTTATTGTTTCAATTAACATGATTATCATATAATAAAAATGACAATGTTTTTATACTTGGATGATTATGCGAAGTTCTCCATTTTGTATTTCTATATACTTTTTTATGAATCCGCGTATCTATTTAAATATATATATATATATATACTAGTATAATATTATACGATTCTCTTACCTAGTGAACGACTATTTTTAGTGGTGGTGAGTAGACATTAGTTTATCTAGATATTCGCCGGTGTAATACAACAAAAGCGTATAAACAAGAACAATGATGGACTTTCGAATGAAAATGTAAGTGTTGACTTTGAATTCGGTAAAAATAGGCGATCATTCAAAGGTCCTTCTATGACAATATTACCTAAATAAATAAATAAAATAAAATCCAATTATAAATAAAAAAAAATAATATTACCTACTATTACTAATAATCATCAACACCAGCCCTTTAACGTCCCCACTGCAGGGGCTCAGGCCTTTCTTATGGATGGTTAAGGAGGATGGGCCATGACACTCCACGCTGGCCCAATGCGGATTGGAGGGTATTAACGACTGCATATGCAGCCGGGATCAACGGCTTAACGTGCCTTCCGATGTACGAAGTAGTTCGAGATAAAAAATTTTTGGTCAACCATCCCGTGACCGACCCTTGCGAAAGTTGCTTAACGACTACGATCGCGGGCCGCGGCGCTTATCCCCTACGCCACCGAGCTACTCATTACTAATAATAAAATTAAAATAAATAGAACCGACTTCAATCTTTAATAAAGTGATAAATAATACTTATCTCAAAAGCGGCTTAATCCAGAAAATGCTATCGAAGTCAGACGGAAGTTTTCCGTAGGTTATTAATTAAATTATAGACCCTACTTCGATAGCATTTTCTGGAATATATCTGGAATAAGTCGCTTTGAGATAAGTATTATTTATCACCTTTTTTTATTTAATTCGGTTCTATTTATAAAAAAAGCTTTTTTCATGCTTTTTAATGATATTTTTATAGATAACACCATTAATTTTAAATATCTATGTAAATAAAAATATTCAACACAATGAAAGTCTTAGTCTGATTTTGACTATTTGCTGTAATACATTTTTTTCCAATTATCTATATTATATTTTAAAGAGGTAAGGTTTGATTGCTTGTTTCTGTGCATTGTATAGGCCTGAAACTATTGGACCGATATTAAAAAGTCTTTCATCTACGGGAAGCTACATAATATGCGGGGGACATAGATTATAATTTACGCAGGAAAATCGCGGGGAAACAGATAGTTATACAGGGAAACAGATATTCGTTTCAGAACGCCGTGACGTCAGAGCGACGCCATGACACAAGTGGCGGGAATTTTGAAAATAAAATTCAATTTTAGATTTTAACTTATTAAATGAATATTATTTTGAAATATTTATATTTAGATAACAGTAGTTGATCGAAGTCTAAACCTCTATTCAAGAAGAAATGTGTATTTTACTCTTTAATACATACTATGAATTTTCTAACAAAATATACATCAAAGAGTAAAGTATAAATAGAAAATCCTCCTCACTGACTTTTCTTGGATTGTTTAATGAATTAAAAATACGCTATCTTATTGTTTTTTAGATGCCATGTCAAAACATATTATCTAAATATTTAGGTAATAACAGGAGAAAAGCGTATTTTTTTCGTTATGAAAGGGAAATTACTGATTTCATTACAATAAATTTTAAACGGGACCAACTCGGTCCATCAAACTGTCGAATAAAAAAGAATTTTGAAAATCGGTCAACAATTGGCGGAAATTTCGGGGATTATATATAAAAAAACACATCGCCGTCCCCAACTAGCAAATTAGTCATATAAGGTAAAGTTTATTCAGCTTTTCGGTGTTATAAAAGTCGAGTAAGTGTGAATTATTCAGCACGTATCGTATAAAAGCATCTTATATAGCTTTTGAGTTATTCAGCATTTCGGTCACATAATGATGCTGAGTAAACGTTTAGTCAGCATCCTTATATGACTTAAGTGTCATATAATATTTTGCTGAATAAGTCGCTAGTATACGACGCTTATGTTACTATTTCGTCGAGTAAAAGCATATTATATAGCTTTCTTATGGCAAGGTTGACTCAGTCGAGTAAAAGCAACATTGTTGCTTTTATACTACTATTATGTAGTATACGTCGCATTTATACGACTATTTCAAGCCTAAAATGTCGTATAATTGTATCCATTACACCGATCAGATTGTTTTGTGTAAAATGCTGTAAGTAGTTTACAGTGAAGTGGGAAATAATATTTTAGTAAGTGGTTCCGCAGGTGAAATAATTACCTCAGAGAAAAATCATGATTTGGAATTTGAAAATCCGTGTTTGGAAAATGAATTGAGAGATTTAGAAAATAGTGTTTCCGTACACGAAATAGATTCAGACGACAGTAGTGCTTCAGAAAACTTTGACAAAGACTGTGAGTTGCGTAATAATATTGCAGAATGGGCGTATGAAAGATATTAATTTCTTTTCAGAAATAAAGCAGTTCCTGTTGTGTAACTTGTTCTAGTTTTGGTGTGTACAATAAATAGTTGATTAAATAAATAAACAAACAAAAAGTCTTTCTAAGAAAACTCTTTAGGAAGTTCTAAGGAACCCTAAACTATAATCAGAGTGGTATCATGGCGCTCATACTGCTAATTTGCTGTATAAGAAGCTATTATACCGCCTGTCAGCAGTAAAAATGGTGTACAAAAATAATATTGATATAAAAATATTTGTTATTATATTCATATTACTAAGAATTAAAGGGGGGCGTTAAATATTTATGATATAACCTAGTATATTTCCTCAGAAAACTTACCTTCGCAATACTTTACAACCGTATGCGTGAGTTTACGAACCTACATTTGGTGCAACCTACAAATTAACATGTCTGCTAAATAAATTGTACTTACCGATGAATTATAATTTTTAAAACACAACACGTCGAAGTACTTGTTTATTTTATTTACTATAAATGTTTTCAGCTGTTTTGTATCCCAGGTCGCTTCAATAAGACAAACATGTTATATAAAAGTCATATAAGTTACAGTTATAGCGCAACATAAGCTTGTAACAGTCACTCTGGCGATAATTACGTGACGATTTACCTGAATAAGTTACCTTTATAAGATGTCTATGTGACTGAATTGCTGAATAAAATGGGCCCAAATCGCGTTGTATAAACGTTTTCATTACGTTTATACGACTTCTATTAGGAGCCAAAATGCTGAATAATTTTCGTTGCCGCGACTACTATACGACATATTTTTGCTAGTTGGGTCGAACATATCGACGCTGGAAAGCAAACACGTAGTAACCTGCAAAACCAAAATGGATGTTAAGAGTGGAAAATCTTTATATTTTTCCAAAAAGAAAACATTATTTCCATATAAATTGAATAAAGAACACCTTATTAGTTACCATGGACGTTTTTGGAATTAATAATCGAAAAAAAAAGTTTTTCAGCTCTGAAAAACAATTTTGGTTTTGCTGGTTTGCTTTGTGTTTACTTTCCAGCGTCGATATAACCTTTTCAATTTTGAAGTCGGTTCAAAAGTAAATAGTTTTATTAATCTTGAGATTTCAAAAAAGAGAATAAATCTAAGAAACTTATTTTATAGACAGGCGAGCAATGTTTGATATGAATGCATTACAAATGACGACGTCGATAGTAAAGTTTCACCATTTCCCAAACACGTGTTGATTCCACCCCAAGTTTAGTGGGTCACGTGTAACGAAACGCTACTCTGTCCGGTACTGATGCACGAGTTTCGACGATTGCAGACCTCACGTTACCGATGTCACGTTTTTTGTAACGGTCAGAAGTATTTTGTAACGGAAAGCTAAATGCCGTGAAATGGTCACGTTTCTGCAATGTTACGTTGCTCAATAAGAAAAGTTGAGCCTTTAAGGATCTGAATAGGTGTGTTGCGTCAGTTTGCTTAAGTACCTACATTATAGTTTGTTAATTTTCTCTGAAACTATTGAACCGATTCAAATAAGAATGGAAATTAACGACCAAACGAACCACTAATAGTGTCGAATTACCCCAGAGCGGGGCAAATCCCTCCCCCTTCCCTTAGAGAAACAGATAAGTCGTCCTTTGCTTTCCGAATAACACAATACAACTAATTTGTTATTTGAGTTTGTTAAAAATACCTATGACTAGTTAGAAGCGTGTCACATTTTACGCTGACTTGGAAAAAATAATTAATTGACTCTGAACCAAAGCGAGGCTCAAAATTGGGTAACAGGGGGTATTATTT